ATGATGACGCTTTTAACAGAAGGAACTGAAAACCATGAGAAATCATCAAGACACTTGGTAAATATTTATCCAGTGTCTGTGATAGGTTGTGCTGTGTTAGACACTAGAACACAAAGATGGATTCCCCTAGGAGAATTTGCTCCACTGAAATGAAAGCTTGGAAGAGGAAAGAGAGATTATTCAAGAAATAGCATACAAACTGATTTTATTGTGATAAATACCCTAGCAGGAAAAAAATAAAGCACGTGGTACTTAGAGAAGTTAACTAACTGTCCAGCTGTAGGGTTATCTGAGCACACACTTCCCCTAACATGGCCTACCCACCCATGAACTATGTGAATAGAAAAAATACCATCTTTTTCTCTTTTCTTGTTCAGCTTTGATTTTTCTACCTTTAATCCTATTTTTTGTGGGATCTATATTTCTTTTCTTTCCTCCTAACTAACTCCTTCTTTGCAATTGCTGTACCTTCCTGTCATTACCACCGTTCATTGAATTAATCATAAATTAATGAGTGGCTTCACAGTGTTGTATAGCAGTTTCCTCTCAGCAAGATCTACAGACATTAAAGGGAAAGTCATTAAGACATCAGATATAAAGGAAAAGTGAAACAACGGGATGTTTTAGGACAGGATGTTTACAAGCAGGTGAAACAATGGGATATTCTAAGAGGAGGTAAAACATTCCATCCTGCAGGGAAGCCTGTTAGGACAGGAAGTAAATAACTCAAAGAGGCTTTAGGAAGTCCCTGAAGCTGACCAGATGCACTTGGCTCTTCTTTCCCCAAGAGTGTATAAACAGTGAAGACTGCTGAGAGTCTCTCTCAGACAAGCCCAGAAAAAGCAGAGACCAACCAAGCAGCCTGAGAGAATCAGAAACCAGTCAAACTGCCTAGAGGAAACAAAAGACCAGCTCAGCTGCCAGAAAGAGGCGCAGAGCAACTGAGCCACCTGGAAAGGAAGGACACTCTCCACGCTGTTGAGCTGCTGTAGACGATTCAGTAGCTTTGTGAGCTGCCTCTCATGCTGGGGTGGGCTTTGGTGATGCAGCCATCTTTGAGTTATTTCTGCCCAGGTAGGTAACCCCTCACCCATGCTCCTGTAAGTAACCCCAGTAAAACTCATTGATTCACCACGTTGGACTTTGTTGGTGCAGGGACTCTGGCCAGCTCGAGCGAGGTGAGCATGGCTCTGACAGGCCTTGCCCATCTCCCTCATTCCCTCTGCCTTGCTAAAAAGTGTTAGATTGCATTCCCTTATTTATCCAATCTCTCCTGAGGCTGACTACCAAGGTTCAGCTATTGAAGTCCCCCAATCAAAAGCCCCCCTTGGCTCACCTAATTAACCTTCTCAATTAGAATTAAACACCTCATCCTAGCATGGGGTCCCCCCTGTACCTTTATAAACTGCCATTTGCCTATGTGACGTGCCTGTCTCCCTTCTCCAGTCCTTTGTTCTTCTGGGACAAATATCCCTACCCCCTTTCCCTTGTCCTTCATCCTCTATGTCCTGTGTTTGTCTCTTATTCCCTGCCCTCTGTCCCTCTGGGGCAAATACATCTCCTTTGTGCTGAGAACTTGGCCTTGGGGGTCCTGAGCTGATACTTTCCTTTTCAGATTGTATCTGTACTTCCGTCTGTCATAGACTCCCTATTTAGGATGAATAAATGAGTGAGTGTGTGTGTGTGTGTGTGTGTGTGTGTGTGTGTGTGTGTGTGTGTGTTGCTCCTCCCCAGGAAAAGTCTGTCACACACTGCATAGACACATTTAAATCACCAACGTGTCACTCATCCACTGTGGGTCAGATGCTCACTTTGCTTGTGGTCCAAGCCTTTGAGGTGTTCATAGTTCAGTGTGGCAACCAAGAATTACATTACTGAATAAGCCCACAGAAGAAGGAGAAAGAAGTTGTGCTGAAGATGTTCACCTGAGCCTGCTTCTCAGGAGCATCACAGACATTAAAGAACCTGAACACATCCCAGCCCTCACCCCAGACCCTTCATCCTTACAGATGTTTTGTAGTTAAAACTCCACTTACATCATAGTGGAGGCTTAGGTATGTATAATAATCATGTGATTTAGGGAGCCTAACTCAACTTCAATAATAAAATGGCATCTCCCAAGCCAATGGTTCCCTAAATTGACTGAACCATTAGGGATCTTGTGTCTTTAAGATCTTGGGACCATTAGAGGTCTTTAGAAATCTCTGGTTGAGGATCATGCAGGGTCTTGAGGAAACCAGGGATTTCTTGGGATTCTATGGGGAAGTTCTATGGGGAACTTCTGAACATCACCAATGTCAGGTTCTCACTCCTAGACATTCTAGCTTAATTGATATGAAAGTTGTCCTGAGCACCAAGAATTTAAAAATACCCTTAAGAACCCAAACCGCAGGCATATCTGGAAGCCTTGAAGATCCTCATGGTCTGCCCAGGAGATGGATTAAATCTAATTTGAGTTTTAAGAGAGTACATCAAATCCTGCTGTCAAGGACTTGCTCTGACTGCAAAGGGCAAACCCATGATTCCCAGGATAATCAACTCTGTTCAACTCTGAAGTGGTTCACAGCGTGATGAATTATGTCAGTTTATTCAGCTGACATTTTATCATTTAGCACTGACTTTGTGCCTACTATAAACACAAATAGTCAGGCTGTGGTCTTGAGGATGTGTCTGGAAGAGAGGCATCTACCATGTGCAAGTGAATCCCGTGTGGTTGGAGATAGGATGCAGAAGAACAGGGCATGGTGGGAGCTCTGAAACGGGGCATCTAATACAACCTCTTGTCAGTCAGTGCCTTTTGTCCAGTACACTACAAAAAGACCTCAGTCAACAAATGGTTATGGCACACCTGTTCTGCTGGGCACCAGAAAAGCAAACAAGTCCCCAGCAAGCAGCAGTGAGATGAAGACATGGGTTTTGCTGGGCAGTGGTGGCACATGCCTTTAATCCCAGCACTCAGGAGGCACAGGCAGGTGGATCTCTGTGAGTTCAAGGTCAGCCCGGGCTACAGAGTGAGTTTCAGGACAGGAACCAAAACTACACGGAGAAACCCTGTCTCGGAAAAAAAACAAAAAAGAAGAAGGAGAAGGAGAAGGAGAAGAATATGGGTTTCTGCTCTCAAGGAGTTCGTTGTCTGGATGAGGAAGTCTCCCATAGAAAACAAGTCCTGAGTGGACAGGAATGCAGAGCATGAAAAATCCCTCTGACATTCCAGAGACTTCTTCACTGCAACCTTAAGTGGGTGGAATTTCTGAGGTGAGCATGAAAGAGGAGTGAGGCCATTTCCTTCTCTCTTGATTGCAGACTCCTTCCTGTTGTTTCTCCTTTTTTAAAGACCAAACTGGATGCAAATTTCAAATCCCAAGATGTCCAGAGTAGACCACAATAGGGGACTACTTATGGCCTTTTAATGACTCATATATAGTGCCTTGTCCCCATCAGAGTGTCTAAGACACTTAGGAGTTAGCAGGGACATTTTAATTCATTTCAATCATCCATTTCTTACTGAATTTCAAAAAAAATGTATAAAAGCGGAAACAGCATTGCCAGAGAGTATTTCTTCTAAATATAGACATTTTCCTAATCAAGTTACATGACTTTCAATACTCTTGCCCCACATTCCCGCTCTTGCTATTTCACTTCCTGTCCACGTAATAGGAGCTTCTGTTCCTCTCACTTCCTCCTCAGTGCGAGCCTGGCATGATTGATTTTTATAATTAAATCGGCCTTTAAATGTCTCTTGTTTTATTTTAGATTTCATCTCTGTTTTGCTTTGTTTTTTTTTTCTGGTGTTCCTTTCATGCTCCTTTTCTCCAGACTTAGTTAAGCAACAGATAGTTGTTGAGCATATTAAGAACCAACAATGAAGGTTACAGAGAGCCCCAGAAACTGATTCTGGCTCTGGAAAGCCTATGACCTAGCTGTCAAAATAAAGACAAGTCAGACAGATGAAGATAATAATGGCTTTGATTGACATGATGTTGGTGACCCAAGAGGCTTAGGCAATTGGGCCTTCGAATTTCAAGGGAAGAGGACTTCAGTACAGGGCAGTGGGTAGGATTTGGTAACACCAGGACTTCATGGCCAGCCAATGATTGAACACTTACTATGTGTTTTTCCTTCCTGTGCCTCCTTGATCCTGAGCAACCTCATGATGGAACCATGTTTATTATTACCACATTTGTGGTGATATTTTATTTGTGCTGAAATGTTGTGATATTTTATTTGTGCGTTAATAAATAAAACTTGCCTGGAGATCAAGGGGAAAAGGCCAGCCATTTTAAGTAAACAAAGAAGTCAGGCAGCAGACGCCCTTAATCCCTTAGCAGGCAGGATATCTGTGTGTTCAAGACCACACTAGGTAACAGAGCCAAGCGTGGTGACACACGCCTTTAATCCCGGTACCAACCATTGAGACCTAGAGGTCTGTACAGACAGACAGAAAGTGACAGAGCTATGTAGGAAGAGGAAGTGAGGTAGCTGGGCTAAAAGAGTCAATGAGAGGGCAGAACAGCAAGGCAATAAAGACAGAGGTAGACAGGAAGTAACTTGAATTTGGAAGCTGCAGAGTTGGTGAGGTAAGGTTGGCTGGTGGCTTTCCCTATTTCCCTGATCTAAGGCTCTCATCCCTATATTTGGCTCCGTGTTTTTTATTTAATAAGACCATTTTAGAAATTCATCTACACACATTAGATGATTAGGTGAAGGTTTCTGCAGATGAGGAGACACCCCAAGGCCATAGAGCCAGGAAGGAGGTGAGTTGGAACTCTAGGCCAAACCCTTCTGACTCCAAACATCAAGGTCATCACACTGTACCATCTCTAGAGCTACCTCTTCTGGCCACAGTTCCTTGTGTGTGTGACTTTCCTGTCATGTAGCTGGTGGGAAGGTTAGATTCAATGCAACAGGCATTTTATGAAGTACCTCGAACACAAGTAAACTGTGATATTGCCGTCATCATTATCACCACATTCCTTATTATAAACCTCACAAGAGAAGCAGAAAGATCTTGAAATTTATTGATTAGGTAGTAGAAGGTCAATGTTCCATGCAGGGAGACAGAAAGGTCAAAGACCCACGTGGTTTTCTCTGGTAGTCTGGTCCAGCTGATGCCTAAGGCCTAGGTAATTTAGACTTTTATGTACTGGAAAATTACCCTTGGGATTTTGTACTTGATCCTGTGAATATGGAAAGGACATTTCTCTGTGTGGGGAGTGGGGGAGCACATGCATGTGTATTTGGTTATGCTTCTAAGCATCTATTCATGATGAACTTTTTTTGTTTTGAATAGTAATATTTCACACAGATTAAAATTAAAAATAAATTTTTAAAATGCATTGAGATGTTTCATTCATACCCTGACCTTTCTACCCCATCACATAGTCCCTGTAGGCAATCATGAGGTTTATTCTTGTTCAAGTATGTTTCTTTATGCAGATATGATCAGCTATATGTGCATATTTTCATGCCATAAAAGTAACATATTAATATATTGTCTTCTTGTTCTTTTTATTTTATCATATCTAGAATATTTTTCTATACTAGAAAGTCTTAATTCTTTTTAATGTTATTATGTACTTATTTATTATGTGTGTGTGCACATACACACATACATGGACATGCACATACCATGGCACAGGTGTGGAGGTCAGAGGACAACTTTTGAGGGTTGCTTTTCACCATTCACCGGGTTGAGGCAAGAGCCTCTCTTCTTGTTGCGGCTACTGTGCTGCATCTCGAAGGCTCGCTGGCCTTCCAGCATCCAGGCCAGAGCTTCTTCGAGATCCTCCTGCTTCTGCCTCATCTTGCCATAGGGAATGCCAAGACTGCAGAGGCACTGTTACGTCGGTTCCGGGAACTGAACTCAGGTCACCGGGCTTTGCGTGGCTAGTGCTCTCACTTGCTGAACCATCTGCCCAGCATTTAATCCTTTGTATTGATACAGTTCAGTGTACTGTAGTCTATCAGCTGCTTGGTGACGGACACCAGGACACATGGATACCAGGGCTGTGTTCAGTCTTTTCCTGTTTCAGATCATTGGACAATGAAGGCCTTGGGCAGATTTGTTGCTTTGATATACTTAGCTGAATTCATAGGATAAATTTCTAAAAATTAAAAAAAAAGCAAAAACAAAAAAAACAGGGTTATTGAGTTAAAAGGTAAATGTAAGTTCCCACTAGCTTGGTTTGGTTGTCTCTGTAGGTTTCTCCATCATAATCTTTAGACCAACAGCTGTGGAGCCTCCATGGGACTGGACTAGGCCCTCTGCATAAGCAAGACAGTTGTGTAGCTTGATCTGTTTAAGGGCCCCCCTAGCAGTGGGATCAGGATTTATTTCTGGTGCATAATCTGGCTTTTTGGAGCCCAGTGCCTATGGTGGGACACTTTGCACAGCCTTGATGTGTGTATGGGGGGGCGCTTAGACCTGCCTCTGGAATGTACCAGGTTCTGCTGACTCCCTGTGGGAGGCCTTACTTTTTCAGAGGAAGGAATGGGGGGTGGGTTGGGGGAGAAGGCTGGGGGGCAGGAGGAGGGGGATCTGTGATTGGTATGCAAAATGAATAAAAAATTTCTTAATAAAAAGAAGTTAAATATAATTGTAGTTTTTGAAACTATTGCCAAATTGCCCTCCAAAGAAGACAAACCAATTAACGAGTTAAATTCCCATTAACATTATTAAGAATTATTGCTGGTTTTGTTTTGTTTGAGCTCCCTTTTCACGATTTGCCTGAACTTAACTTCTGGTGTGTGTGTCTTCCTTGTATAGCACTGCTCTGAACAGTGTCTCTGTTCAGTTTCATCAGGGTTTATTATTACTATTATTGGTGGTGGTGGTGATTTTGTTGGGTTTTTTCTTAATTTTTTAATTTTTTTTTTCAGATTGACTATGGAGAAATTGTCCTTGTTTTTGCAGAATAGCCGACAATAACTCAGAAGATGGGCTCAAGCACTATTGGTCAATTTTCTCATTACTATGCTGGGACAGAATACCCAACAAAAACAACTTAGGGAAAGGGGGATTTAGTCAGGCTCAGGCTTGAAGGGATATCATCCATCATGGAGGGGAAGTCATGGAAGAGAGTGTAAAGCAGGTCGCATCGCCTCCACAGTCAGAGAGCAAAAGGAGATGAGCGCTGGGGCCCAGCTCTGGGGCATGGGATGGTGCAGAGCACATTCAGGGCATGTCTTCCTGGGTTAAGCCTCTCTGGAAACATGCTCACTGGCGTGCCCCAAGGTGTAGCCCATAGGCGACATTTCTTCAGTCAAGTTGAGGATGACTTTTAACCTTGAAACCTTAAGTTAGGCAGGCTTTCACTAACAGTGGCCCGGTGTTGAGATGGAGTGAATGTTCAAAGTACAGAAGGGTCTGAAGTCAGCTTTTGCTTTCCATCAGGCCCTCTTGGGACTACTAACACAGACTCCCGGTCAGCCAGAGATGTGTGGAAAGAGTGTTTACTCCCTTTGAAGCTCTCTTATTTCCAGGTTCCTGGCAGACTGCTGAAGAGTCCATTGGCTGAGCTTCCCACCAACAGCATCACGACTTCAGGCTGGCATGGCCCAGAGCAGGCCCGTTTGCTCTGTATCAAGTTTGCTCCATGTACTGGAAACTCTCCTCAGCTTGGACTTTTGTCCTCTTCTCCAAACCAAGGCAACCAAGAAACCCTAGCCCTGCCTCACCCAAGCTTGGAGGGCAGGAAGCAGCCCTAAGCAAAAACTCCCACATTTCTCATAAATAGTCCCAATGCACTGTTTGTATCTGATCAACTTCAAGAGCCCTTAAATGATGGGATTTTTTTTTAAATATAATCCAATCTCACATTATTTTTTGGTGGGCTTGTCAACCATTTTGCTCCTGAGATTGCTAGGAATCTGACCCCTTGTTTTTAAGAATCTGTAATCAGGCTGTCCACACATTCTATATTCCACAGACCCCTACATTTTATGAAGTCAATTGGAGTTAAAGTTAGCCTTAAACCCCATGTTTTATGAAAACATTTAAAATATTAGTTAATGATTCACTGGTTGTGCAGCCAATGAGCAGACTTAGGAGGACCCGGCAAGTCAGACAGCCAAGCCAGCGCCTGAACCCAAGCATCCCACAAGATCTAACGCCCAAAGGGACAATAGTGAGTGCATTCGTGATTTTAGAATGTCAAAAGCCCGAGGAAAGGTAACACCTTTGCTTTTGACAAGGCTGCCCAGACAGAACAGAATGCCAAGTGGCATTCCCGTGGGCCGAATTCTCACACTTTAGTGAGGCATGTACAGCCTCTCACACTGGCCAGAAGCTGTGTCGGCTGTTACAGATGTTCACAGGGCTAACAGTACATGGCTACATTCATCATTGCATAATAAAAGCAGTTTCGCAGGAGAAAAGATCCACCACATAGGAAACCTTGGAGGATGGGTGGGAGGATATTTTACAAAGGAACTTTTTTTTTTTTTTTTTTTTTTGCAATACAATTCAGTTCTACATATCAGCCACGGATTCCCTTGTTCTCCCCCCTCCCGCCCCTCTCACCTTCCCCCCAGCCCACCCCCCATTCCCACCTCCTCCAGGGCAAAGCCTCCCCCGCGGACTGAGATCAACCTGGTAGACTCAGTCCAGGCAGGTCCAGTCCCCTCCTCCCAGGCCGAGCCAAGCGACCCTGCATAGGCCCCAGGTTTCAAACAGCTGACTCATGAAATGAGCACAGGACCCGGTCCCACTGCCTGGATGCCTCCCAAACAGATCAAGCCAATCAACTGTCTCACCCATTCAGAGGGCCTGATCCAGTTGGGGGCTCCTCAGCTATTGGTTCATAGTTCATGTGTTTCCATTCGTTTGGCTATTTGTCCCTGTGCTTTATCCAACCTTGGTCTCAACAATTCTCGTTCATATAAACCCTCCTCATTCTCGCTAATTGGACTCCCAGAGATCCACCCGGGGCCTAGTCATGGATCTCTGCATCCAGATCCCTCAGTAGTTGGATGAGGTTTCTAGCACGACAATTAGGGTGTTTGGCCATCCCATCACCAGAGTAGGTCAGTTCGGGCTGTCTCTCGACCACTGCCAGCAGTCTGTTGTGTGGGTATCTTTGTGGATTTCTGTGGGCCTCTCTAGCACTTTGCTTCTTCCTATTCTCATGTGGTCTTCATTTACCATGGTCTCCTATTCCTTGTTCTCCCTCTCTGTTGTTGATCCAGCTGGGATCTCCCGCTCCCCCAAGCTCTCTTTCCCTCGGCCCTCGCCCTTCACTACCCCGACTCATGACCAGGCTGTTCATGTAGATCTCTTTCATTTCTCTGTCATTGGGCGATCCCTGTGTCTTTCTTGGGGTCCTGTTTTCCAGGTAGCCTCCCTGGAACTTGAAGACTAAGAATGAAAAAGAGGCATGAACTGTGCGAGGGACTGCGGATCTGAGACACTGACTTTTTCTACTTCATATGGTACCTTTAGTCAGCCCTGCTTATCCACCACACCTCTCCTTCCAGGCCCGGTAGAACAGATCCACAGTTCACAGCTGATGCCCTGCCAGGGCTGCCCAACCCCCCACCTCTCACCGCCCCTTCTGCCAAGGAAAGGACCTTCCCTCCCAGTGCTGGCCCGGAGAAAGGGTGAAAAAAGTCAGGCAAGGCGGTGGGCAGCCATGCCTAGGAGACAGGACTCACTTTCCACGGGGTAAGATATGCCACTAATCACAGTGGAGCAACGTGCAGCAAGAAGACCCAGAGGAGAGGGGGTGATGAGCAGGGACTCCTGGCGCCTGCGGTAAGTAGGCAAGCCCAGGGAACCTCTGAGACGATCTTTAAGACATTCCTCAGTTCTGGGGGCCTGCAAGGCTGGTCTGCATGTACAAGGGATCACACGGAAGGGAAGGAAGAGCAGGCGTCTAGACAGACATGGACGCATGAGGTCGGGGCAGAGTCAGAGATGTCACATTTGACTGGGGCTGACTGATAGGTGCCTCCCGGCCCTAGTTATATCCCAGGTTAGTGCCTAATATCCTCTCCCTCCCGCGTGCGCTCCTATGCCCGTTCCGAAACTGACATGGCTGAGAGCAGTTTTTGCTGTCTACAAGGTACAGTGACCCCTTGGTTAGGTCCGAGTAACCTCAGCAAGACTGGGAAGATTGTTCTGGGGAAGCCTGGGGCAGAGATGTGTGCCGTTTAACTTCACTAAAGCTTCAGTTGCTAGATTCTGTATTTTTAGACTAGGGAGGGGGGTGTCATAAGAGATGTGACCTCAGGTGACTGGAGGTGCCGGGGATGGAGGCTTGACAGAGAGGTGGGAAAACTCATTTTAAACTCTCAAAATCTCAGCTTCCCCTTTAAAAAGAATAAATCCCCCAGGACATTGTTTGAGCCGTGTGCTGTGGGGAGGGCAGAGCAGCTAGTTCAGACACTCGGGCCTGCAGCTCTGCAGTCTCCATGCCTCTCCTGGTGCGTGGGTGTAGGATGGCTTCAGGGACATCTTCAGTTTGCTACAGCCTCTGTCGGAGCCACAGTCTGCAGCAACATTGTGTGTGGCTCCCTCTGGTGGCCGATAGCCACGCGTACAACCGACTCAGCGTGCTTGAGGAGACTTCCATCTCCTGGAGGAAAGGGTCCCGTGTTTTTATAGATAACCTGCTAAAGGCAATAGGAGCAGATTTTATACCCAAAGCCAGACAGCACAGTCCAGGTTATGACTGCATTCTGTGCTAACGGGCTGCCTATGTGCTAGGCACGGGGTTAGCAGGTAACATGGAAGTAATGGGTAAACAAAACAAACCGTTAAAAGGATGGAGTCGGGCTGGAGAGATGGCTCAGCCGTTAAAGGCTAGGCTCACAACCAAAAGGATGGAGTCATAATACGAAGGTGGAGCCTCCAGGGCACTGGCACAAACCATTGTCCATCCCTATGCTTTCTGAGTTTGAGGACCAACAAGGAGGCAGCTGGCCCAGCAGAATGAACACAGGGAGGGTGGCTGGAAATGAGGTCAGAGAGGTATCCAGGGACAGATGGTGGAGAGCCTTCTAGGCCACAGAGGACTTTGGCTGTGGTTCTGAGGGTGAGAACAGCCATTGAATTCTGAACAAAGTCATAACACCACCTGGTTTGTTTGGGTATTCTTTAATCTCT